CGTAGTTACTCACATTTTTAATTTTATTCTTGGTAAGCAAACTCTTGAAATCTCATCATTGGTAAGCAACAGCTAGAGAGAATTCTTGGTGGACCGTCTCCGTTGTCACTTTAGTGAATTTGTGGTGTCCAATCACATCCTTAAGTGGTGGTATCATGTTTAAGCAAAATGGTGGTGGCATACTTTGAATTTTAGCAGAATATATATATATATATTCATTGGAGGTTGATCAGTGTTAGGTGTTGCTATATATCCAATCCTCTTCATAAGATATTACTGTATTTTAATCAGACTTTTAATAATATCTATACAAAAAAGGAAGAAGAAGAAGCATTGGTTTTATATTCTATTTGGCTTTTAAAACTCCAGCTTGCTTTTAAAGATTATATTGCCTCCCTTTCCCTCCTTTTGGCCTAAATGTTTCTGTTTGTCCAAAAAGAAAAAGAAAAAAGTATTTTTTAAAAAGAAGCATTTAAAGATACAATCGTTTTATGCACCAAAGTTGGCTATAAAAAGAATTAAATTGCTTCCTCACTTTATTAAGCAAGGAATTACGGTGGTTTTTTTTTTTAACCCTACAGGAAATAGAAAACTAGTGTACCTTGTTTGTCTTCTATTGAGACAAAAAAAAAAGTTGCATATAGAAAACGGGATGTTGCTTGTAAATAGTTTTGCAGATTTGTAATATATTTTTATATCACAAAATGTAGATGTTTTTTCCTAGAGGCATGGAAGTTAAAATGTATATATTATGGTAGAAATAATATTGAAGGATATTGTACGTCATTAGCGCTGCCAGAATTTGTTTAAAGCAAGCACCTTTCTTAACAATACTATATCTCTTGGATTTCCAAGGGACTCTATACTACTGTTAATAAGAACAAAACACATTAGGTGTCCTTTGAGAAATCTTTGAAGGATGCATAATATCCATAGAAGGTTTATAACACCTCACTGCGGAACATGGATATGAAATCAATCTTTTTCCTTGCTTGTTGGAAGGAACAAATGTAAAATAAAAGACTTAATAAGGTAGCTATATGCAGTCAAACTGCATGGTTAACCCTTCCTGTTTAGGAGGATTTTTTATTTTATTTTATTTTGCATTACTACAGTGACTTTTTTTTTTACACTATTTTTTTTTTAATTAAACAGCAAATAAATTAAAGTCTAAAGTTTTGGGAGATTAAAGGTTTTTTGTTTTTGGTCAAATCGTATAAGGAAAGCTGCCTTAACGAAGGTAAATTTGCTTGTTTGGTTCCTGGTGGATTTAGAATGTTTCCACAAACATTTAAATTTTATTATTGTGCAGATTTAGAAGCACTGCTGACATGGAATGGTTCTGGAATACTGTAGTTGTTTGACAATGGTATTTCATAAAGATCTGTGGCAATGTTAACTATTTAAAACAGATGCCGTTTTGTTTTGTCTTTTTAATTTTGCTTAAGCACTTCCGTTACTGCTTTATCTTCATTAAATGTTCATCTCTTAATTGCTTGGGTTCCCTTTCTTTAAGAAGTATAACATTGCCAAATAGGTGTTTTCAGATATAGTTTGTGTTTGTATTTTTTTTTAAATCTTATTGTTTTATGAATCTCTTGTATGCCATTCATAATTGACAGATGATTGTAGACTGCTGGAGTATTTTTTCTAATAAAAGAAAGCAAATGCAACTACGATTTAAGGTTCTGAATGTCGTTTACTGCATTGGGCTATTGGAAAAGTTGGAGCACACTTATGTAAATCATGTATTTTTCTGTTCAAATAAAGCTAGAATTTTATGTATTAAAATACTGCAATACCACTTTCCATGACAAAGGATCCCAAGGCAAGATTTCAAAATAAAAATGAGATTTAAAACACAGAATAAATTAATTCGTTGAAAAATAACAATGGGAGGTCCTCAACTTACAACCATTTCTTTAGTGATCAAAGTTACAACGGTACTGAAAGAAGTGACTTATGACTGGCTTTCACACTACCATAGCCGCATGCCCCCGTGGTCACATGATCAACATACTGATGCTTGGCAACTGGCATGTCTCTATGATAGTTGCACTGTCCTGGGGTCATGTGATCGCCATTTCGAACCTTCCCAGCCGGCTCTGACAAGGAGAGTCAATGGGGAAAGCAGGGATTTGTTTAACAGCTGTGGTAAAAAAGTCAGAAAATGTGGCTCAAGTCGCTTAACAACTCTGTTTGGCAATGGAAAATTAGATTATCAGAACACTTAAAATACATTCCTGAACACCCAATACTGTATTTTTTGGAGTATAAGATGCACCTTTTCCTCTCAAAAAAGAAGCTGAAAATCTGAATGCGTCTTATACACCAAATACAGCATTTTTTGCCTCCCGAAATCCCGTCCCCTTCACCAAAATGGCCGTGCATAGCCTTTAGGAGGCTTCCAGGGAGTTGATGAGCAAAAAATGGTTCATTTTTTGTTCAATTTTGCCTCCCAGTCCCCAGGAGCACTCAAAAAGCCTCCTAAAGGCTATTTGTGCCCTTTGGGGGGGGGGGGGAACGGGGCCGTTTTCACAAAAAACGGGCCTTTTTTGGGAGGTATGCAGATTGCAAAAACTTTTTTTAAAAAAAATTTGCCTCTTCAAAATTTTGGTGCATCTTATACTCCGTGTGTCTTATACTCCGAAAAATATGGTAAGTCTTTTTTGGGGGGGGGGTGTTAAAAAAAGGTCGTCTCAAATAGGAGCCATATTTTAATATTCACCTTGCATANGCAGGGGGGTGGAATAGAAGACCTCCAAGGTTCCTTCCAACTGTTATTCTATTCTATTCTAAAAGTCTTCCCATACAAAGTTTCCTTTCGTCAAGATGACAGCAGGAGTTTAGAAAAGAGCCTTGGTGGAATGGAATTTCTCTTCGTGAGGAACTCAGCTGTTCCTAAACCCCCATTGCTCTCCATAAGATTCATTGTTGCTCGTGGTGAAACACCTTCTGAGGGATCTTCTGAATCCCCAAAAAAGGATATTGAAATTAGTGCCCTCCAGATGTTCTGAACTAGAGTTTTCTTAATACCTCACCATTGACCTATTTACTCTCCATTGTTATTGGAATGTCTGTCTAATCTAGAAGGTTTAAATGACACCAAGTTATTTACCTGCAATGTAGCTATGAGTTAAATTCTTCTACCATTGTCTTTTGATATCTTGATTGATACATAAAATCTATTATCTGGCCAGTTGGGTCCCCCTCTCTTTTGACTTTTATATTATATATCAAGTGCTTTCCATAGGCCTGCAAATAGAGTTACGGTAAATCCAGACATCTTACATCTATCTTAATTTTCAGAAAATAACATGGACTCAGGTAAAAACTATTTCAGGCATGTTTTACATCGGTTGTAATTTCCAAGTTTCTAGAAATTGTGTTATGATCAGCCTTTTATTTCTTGTTTTATATATGTTTTTTTGCTGATGACGGCCAGAATACCTGCCTAGCATTTAACAATACTTATTCTTTCTTTGAAAGATTGCCTTTAAAAATACACTTTTATAGATCCATGTATCTTTGCTAATAATGCTGCATTAAAAGGCTTTTGGGGGTTTCTTTTTGAGCGAATACAAGAAGCTAGGATGCAGAGTAAGGAAATAGTAATGTACCATCGTTGTTACTTTTCCAATTAGATGCTAATGTTCAAACATAACTTAGAAGGTGGACGCTCCTCTGAAAACCCTCTGTGACCCTAATCACTTGAACTGATTACGAGGAGCTCTTGATTATCTTTGAGAACCTCTATTGTGTAGCTTTTGAGTTTAATGCACATGGCGCCTTCCCAAAGCAGGAGTAAATATGCAACATTTCCATTGGTTTTACACAATGGGGTTTACAGTTCTTTGCTGTTTTCTCTAATCAGTTCCTTTCCTGATTTTCTTACCAGGGTTCCCATACTTGAGGCAGGCTTGCTTTTTCTATTCATTTAGGAAATATATATATGGTTGCCCATCTTAACCAAACAACTCTGGGCAACTAACAATATAACACAAAAATACATTTTAAAAATAAACATAGAAAATAGAAAATCTGAGGCACTTCATATATCATTCTCAATCCCCAGACTTGCCTATGCTGGGCTCCACTAACAATGCGGCCTTAATACTTGGAGGAAAAAAGCCAGACTGGAAAATGTTTGAGCAATCAGAAGTTGGGAGTCTGCCTGAACGATTCCCTCTTACGCCATGGCATTTTAAGTCCTGTTTCTACATTTCTTCAAGCAGCCTTATCCACATCTCCTTATCGCTCATGCTTCTAAATTTCCCAGGGACCCATTAACTTTGAAAACGGCTCCAGTCCCTGTTAACCAGATACAGAATTCTAGAAACATGTCTGAAACTTGCAATTACAAGCTTGTTTGTCTGTGTTGCTTTTATCCTGTGGTTAATATTTCTGCAGAACATCAAGATGTTTCCACTTTTGGGCTTGAGCTTCCTCTTTATGCAGTCCATTCATGACGTTGAAGGCAGACAACCAATTTGATATGTCTTACATGGGTCAAGCTAAGAAACCTACTGCTTTTTTCCGCAGGATGCAAAATATAATGTGTGAAATCTTTCCCCCATTGGATACACTCTGGCTGTTTTGGGGTAGCAACATGGCAGTATGGGTGGCAGCTTTGAGAAAGGCAGCCAGTGCATGTCAATGTTCTCAATCTTGGCCCCTCAAAAATGAGTGGACTTCAACTCCCAGAAATCCCTAGTCAACATGTTTACATTTGTTACAGAAAATGAGGACAGACATTAAAAAGGGAATGCATGTGTGTATTAACATCATCTCACATGGATTTGAACCTCATCTCAAAAGTAAACTGCTTTTAGAGAAGAAGAAAGCTGCTTCAATGGCTGTCAGAATCCATTAAAAAAAACAACAACCTGTAACCAAAAACACATATTGACATATAATATTTGGACCAAATATTTTTAAGAGCAGGGAATTCCAGAAAGAGCATAAATATTTCAAGTCGCTTTTCTCGTGTTTGCTTTTAGGTAATGGCTAAAAGGAAAGAGGACTCTGGAAAAGTTAAGTTGCTACTTCACTGGACTCCAGAAGATATGTAAGTATTTATACTCAGTAGTACATAATTTTGGCACCTGCAAAAATTAAGATATTTTCTATATTTTACACAAGTGTAGACAGAATTTACAACATACTGAACAGTGACTGACTTACAGCACTGTTATACAGCTCTGATGGAGAATAAAAATTACCAAGTTAATTCATGCATTTGAGTCTACATTAAGAAAAAGTAATATTCATTCGGACGATAAAATGGAAAGGGACTTTTAGACTTACTACAGTGCTGAAAACATCAATTGCCTGAGTTAAATTTTATTTGAGGTTTTTGAACCTATTGGAAAGAAGGTATATGCCTTAGCCCTGTGTTAATTAGCACTTTTCCAAAACTAAACAGAAAAGGTAGCCAGTAGCAGAGATATCCTTATTCTTTAATCAGTAAATACAGTATATATTGTTGAATTTTCTTCAGTTTTTTCATTAAAGACGCATATGATGCATCAGCTTTTCTAAAGGCTGCAAGCATTTTTGTTACCTTGTTAACACAGACGCAGTTGCTAAAAGGGCTTTGAAATCATTATGAAAAGATACGTTCATTACCAATATTAAAATTGGCAAAGCCCATTTGAACTATAGTTAGCTTTTTCAGTAAGCAAAAAGTACAGGATATCAGAAATTAGCAATTTCTAAATGATATGTTCACATATAGAACATATATATCCCTTTTTCCTATTTTTTTCAAGAGAGGCACAATTCTGTTAATTTTAATTCAATTTAACTCAGTTGACAGTAGACAGGATGAAATGTCCATTTTCAATTAACTTTTGGAAAGCTCCTTAAAATGGGCCAAAATAAATTTGTGGAAAATGTCTTTCAAAATATTTGCCATTGTTTTTCAAAAGTAATTGTAGTTCAGTTTCTCAAATTGAAACAGGTTCTATGTTTTTCACTAAGCAAAGTATACTTGAAACTTACCTTTTAGTTAGCGTTGAAGAAATAATGCATGGAGATTTAAATAAAGTCACCACCCGGGGAGGGAGTGCTATTATTTTGAATAATAATATTAATCATTGTCATTAGTGCTACTTATGTGGGATTTTGAAAAGCTCCCAATAGGTAGACATTATGCTCAACGGTTAAGACCCTGGACTTGTCAGCTGGAGAGCCAATAGCCCAGGTTCGAAACCTTAGCACCAGTAACTGGGTGAGCTTCTGTCCTTGTCCCCAGTTCCTGCCTACCTAGCGGTTCGGAAGCATGCAAATGTGAGTACATAAATAGGCACCATTTTGATGGGAAGGTAGCACCACTCCATGACGTCATGCTGACTACACAACCACAGAAATGACTTTGGCTAGCACCGGCTCAATGGCCTTGAAACAGAGATGAGGCTCCACCACCCTCCTAACGTCAGTTACAACTAGCAGAGTGAAATCCACAGAGGCTCATTTACATTGTAGAGAATACTATTCTTGGAGCCAAACTAATATTCTTGTTATCCCTTTGCATAGAGAGCTATTGTCAAATCATATAGAGACGTGATGGCGAACCTATGGCACACCCCTGTCAGCTCCAATGCTTATGTGCACACTGGCCAGCTGACTTTAGCCTTCTTTTGAGGCCGTTTTTCGCCCTCCGGAGGCTTCCTTGAAGCCTCTATAGTGTGAAAAACTGGCGCTACGGACAAACAGGAAGTTCAGGTACGGACTTCCAGTTTGCTCATAGGGCCATTTTTTTACCCTCCAGAGCCTTCAGGAGGCTTCCCTGAAGGCTACGGAAGATGAAAATCGGCCCTATGGACAAACCAGAAGTCACCATTCCCGAACTGGAGGGTTTCCCAGGGGTGGGGCTGTTTTCACCCTCCCCAGCCTCTGGAGCCTGGGGAGAGCAAAAAACCCACACTAAAAAAAAGGGGGTGGTGCTTTGGTGGCATGCATGGCATTATGGGTGTGGCACGCCTGCACATGATCCCCCTGTGCGCTCCCCCCACTTTTGGCACAGGAACCAAAAAAGGTTAGCCATCACTGATGGAGAGCTTCCAGAAGGTGGACTAGAATTTTGTGCCTACAGATACTTAATTTGGGCAAGTCTCCTATCCCAATCATCATCAGCTGAAATGGTAGAAATAAAATGTTGCTCCTTGAAAGAGGTGGAGTCCTTTGTATGTAGAGGGAGAAGAGAGCCTTGTCCTATAACAAAAGGTTTGGAATTACACTCCCAATAACAGTTTAGCTGACTGTGATGCTCATAGAGAAGTAGATTTCCAAATCTTTTTGGCAGTGCAACATTGGTGTGGATTTTTATTTCCCATGAAAAGTGACAGCAGCTCTTTTACCAGTAGCGACGGTGGAGAGCAAATCACTGACCTTTTTTTTGAATATTTTATTTTATTCATAGTCTTCCTGATGTGTGGGTCAATGAAAGTGAAAGGCATCAATTAAAAACTAAAGTAGTTCATTTATCAAAACTACCAAAAGATACAGCTTTGCTTCTGGACCCAAACATTTACAGGTAAATCTCTGCATTTCTGGATGTTCTCTTTGCTTAATGTGACTTGATGCCTTGCGCAACTTTTTGAAGCTGTACCAGAACTGCTATCCATGCAGATAGTCCAAAGTAGTCAGTACTATTCCGCCTTGATCATTCCACCTTCGCTAATATTTTGGGCAGATGTTAAGAGTAAAGAAACATTTCACTATTTTGACAGCATCCAGAAGTTAATTTTCAAGGCATGAGGTCACATGACAGCTTTTGAACTTAAACTCTGGCTGGTAAATATGTGTATTTACCGAGTGTATTTTACTTTTTTGTGCTTGGTGTACAGAAAGTCTAGTAAAGGAGGTACATTCAATGGAATCCTGAAAGATCACTTCTCTTAAGATCACATGCTGGTTTGTATACCAATTTTTTAAAGTCCAAATTTATCTTTTTTTTAAAAAAAAAANTCTTAATTTCTGTTTCCTGGCCCGTTCATAGCTATATTTTCCTCCTGTGTGTTCTAACTTTGACATTCCAGTCTCTAATCATAAGCAGCAACTCTTGTTTGCATGTTCTGTCATTTTCAGATTGACCTTGACCATAAAAAATGTCACCTTGCATCAGTGGTTGGAGCAGAAACTTAGATGAGCATCTTTTTAAAGGACGTTGTCTGCAAATTCTAATCGATAATATTTGATCCTCAGTTGCATTGTGTGCACTAGTCCTGTCCAATCCTCTATCCTTCCTCGCTGAAAGCGGTACTGTTTCTTTTTCGGTTTTGTGTCTTGAGTAATAAACAGTACGATTTTCTGACTCCAAAGCGTCCAGTTCCAATCTGTTTTCAATTCTCTAATGCTTAAGATGTCAATCTATCATCACTTGGTCTTGCTTTTTCTGCAGGGAGCGTCCCATATTTCTGGTTTTTACGTTCTGCGCCCCCATTATAATTCCCTCTTTGCCGCTCTGGATTTTCTTTCTCTTTTTATAGCAACCTCAGCGGTTGAACCTCCTGAAGGGTTTTAGTGTCATGAGTATCATTAGTGCTCCAGAAGATACTTCAGATGGTTCCTTAATGGCATGTGAAGCATTCATTATCTGACAGTGTATTATCTTATCTATCCGTGTGGTTTCTTGGTAAGGCACAGGAGTTTACGGCTTATCGCGTCGTATAAACCGTTGCTGTCATCATTAAAGTGATCATCTACCTCTATACCGCCCTCTATCTCTGCTTCCTGATGTAAATGCCTGCTTGCTTTAGCTAGGTCCTATACATGACGTTCATGGTTTAGGTGACCCTGTTTGACATATATACTTTTGGTCTGTATTCGCCCATCACTCTCGGGAATCCCCTTCCATCACCACAATAAGGCAGCAGAGCAGGACTTCGGGACGAGAGGATGTAACTGCAGAGAAGACAATACAAATGCCCAGAGCTAATAAAGAGATTGGAAAGAATTCCCTAACTTGCCTGAAAGCAGTTATGAGACAAAAGAGCTTTTATTTTTTTTGTAAGTTTTGAAAAGATGACAGAAATTGTGCTATGACTCTGTCAGTCATTTGAATATTCTTCCCTACTTAGGTCCAAGTGTATTTTATCCAGCTATATGCAAATGTTATAAATAAATAAATAACATTTGCATACAGCATGATAAATAAATGTTAAGGAGTGGCTAAGACNATTATCTAGCATTCATCAGCAATTAGGTCTCATGTTCCTTGGCCTTTTATAAAGCCAGCTTGAACACCTGGCATCTCTTTTTCTGTGTAGGTGTCTAATCTGCATTGGGTGAGCCTAAACATTTTACTAGCTTCTGAAATCAAGGTTATTTGCACGATAGTTTGTTCATTCTGTTAAAGTGTCTTTTCCTTTGTATGAATAAGCACTGTATTATATGTACCTCTTCCAATGTGTTGTCACTGTGCCACTTTCCAGATCTCCTCAAGCTTAGTTAGAACCTTTTTTTATTCTTCTTCTGTTGTTTGCCATATTTCGGTGAGTATTCGACTAGTTTCCCACAGCCTTCTGACTTGATAATGACTAACTTCATCTTTTAGTGCTAGAGGCAGATGTCATATATGAATACATATCACTTGATTGATATCACAAATAGGTTTTTCCTTATTCCCACTGCCTGTTCAAATATAATGTTGTTTGTTGAGAATTATGAACTGATCCGTATCTTCAGTGATTTGATCTTGCATGAAGGTATTCTTCACAAAACCAAAGTTTAGCATTGCTGGATTTAGTTCACTGATGCCAGATGATTTTGGTGCATAATCAGCTGAAGTGTTATCCTTGTTCTGTTGTTCTGTGTGAGATATATCTAACTATAGTGGGCAAGTGGTCTGAGTTTAACAAGGAGCTGAAACTAAAAATAAACAACCCAAGGAATCAGTGAGCCGCAAAAAGAAAAAGTTATTAAAAAAAAGGCAGTGCCAAAAGCTGAATCAAGTTGTCAATTAGTGTCCGGCCTTAAATGCTAAAAAGCTGGAAGCCAGAAATCACCAACTAATATATTTCTGAGGCACAATACAGGAACAAAATAAGTAACAGCGAAACAGTTGCCCAAGAAGGTATGTTAATGCACACATAGGCAACATATTTCCTAAACGATGGATTTGTGTAATCTGGGAGAGGTTGGGACTGATATTAAGTCCAAAACCTATTGCTTCAAAACCTGCTAAGTGGAAGTTTTTGCAATTTTTGCAATAATGATCTCGTAATACTCGTTGCTTGCAAATGAAAGTAAGATGGCAGTGTGATGTGGTTGCCAAATAAAACAAATGTAGTTTTGTTAATAATATTACAAAGTGTAACTTTTTTTTCAAATCACAGGAAGTCATAGTTTCACTTTATCTTCCTTTTATCAGATCCTTCCTTGAATGTTGTGTCTAGTTCTTCAAAGAAAGAAATAATCAGAAAAATTGGTCCAGGGGAAGATCAAAGACATTGATTTGGAGACTGGAAAAATTAACCCTGAATTAACCCTGGGAAAGAATTAATTTTGAAAAGAGGAAGGAAAATATGATTCCAGTTTTCAAATGCTTAAAAAGGGTTTTTCAGAAGAAAAAAGCCCTGCTAAAGCTGTCCTTTTCTCACCCAAATGCAGACTTTGGAATATTGCATTTAATTTACAAAAGGCAAATTTGAATGAAACATTAGCAGAAGACTTCCCCATAGTAAGAACAGTTTGATGATTTTAAAAATAGGATCATTATAGGTATATACAGCTTTACAGCCTGGGCCATGAATGCAGAAGGTGTAATCTTTCTTAAGTAAGATCAGAAAAGCTGAACATTTAAATATGTTGCATACACTCTTGTATTGTAGTTGAAGGCTTGCTTTGTTTTTCCCCCCCTTCCTTAGCAAGACCTCATGACTTCTTTGATGCACAGACCTTGGACGCCATACGGCATCGAGCTATTTGCTTTAACCTTTCTGCTCACATAGAAAGTTTGGGAAAAGGCCACAGTGTTGTATTTCACAGTACTGTAAGTATGATTATCTACCATGCTTGGTATATTTCTAATATCTTCAATATTTTCAAACAGCCTTTCTACACTGAAATTGACATAATTGTGCATTGTTATCGCAGATTTAATACAGACAATGTTGCTTGAAAAGTCTTCTGCAAAGACTTCTGTGTTTTTCTTCCAAAAATATATGCAGTTCATGTTCCTCTCTTTTTATCCTATAGCACAGGGGTGTCAAACTCAGGGGCCGGATCTGACCTGCAGGGTGTTTAGTTCTGGCCCGCAGGGCCGCCAGGGAAACAGCAAAGGACCAGCCCATGGTGCCTCTGCTAGCGAAAATGGAGCTCGGTGTGTGGCCTCCCAAGCTCCGTTTTTGTTGGCAGAGGGTTGCAGGAGGCCATTGTAGCCAAAAACGGAGCCCGTTTTCACTGGCAGAGTGCTTGGGCCACCACAGGTGCCCCTGACATGAGTGGTATTAAGCTGGCCATGCCCTCCCCCCCGGGTCAAACACAATCCTGATGTGGCCCTCAATTATATCGAATGTGACATCCCTGCTATAGAACATAGAATAACAACAGCAGCCCTTTAAAGTTGCTTAAGGCTGTTTACTGAGCAATTTTCATATTTTAATTGGTTAAATTTATTTCCTGTCCTTCACCCAGGACCTTCTGGTCTATAGAGCCTCCCTGCATTCAATTTCTCTCTTGTTATAATTCTGAGACAGGTTGCTTTGAGAGTGACCAGCTGAAAGTAATCCATGGCTGTGAAAGGATGAGAACCTTGGTCTCCCAGAGGCTCATCCAGCACCTTAGTCCCAGCCATGGATAAATGACCATTTGAATTCTGCTCTCAGAAACACTATCCTAGCACTTCGAATAGCTCTCCCGTCTAAAAAATATTTATTCTTTCCAACTTTGTGGAAAGTTGGAAAGAAATTAAGTAAAGAGGCTCAGAACTCTGTCCATAAATATGATGACTGCTCATAATACGGGGGTGTCAAACTTGCGGCCCNGACAAGGAGTTTGCTTGGGAAGCCTAGGTCAGAAGACAATTTTTGGAATAAAACAAGCAGATTGTAACGTAGGGTAAATACTCAGAGGAAATGGGCCGTCAACATGCAATGTTAAACGTGCGAATGTTATTCACAAGCGTTTTAAAAATTTAAATAGCAGTTAATGGAGGCTCTTGACTGGCATCTGGATTCCATTGGCTTCACAAAAACAGTGTCTTCAAAACTCTCGTTTGCCTTCAAGGCAAAGAATCAAGTGCAGACTCTTGCATCCTGAGTGGAAAAGGATACGTGAAAAGGACAGCGAAAAAAAATATGTGAAATGGAATATCTTGTATGATGCTAGCAATAACACTTAGACTTATATACCGCTTCATAGTGCTTTTGCAGCCGCCTCTAAGCGCTTTACAGAGTCAGCCTATGGCCCCCAACAATCTGGGTCCTCATTTTACCCACCTCAGAAGGATGGAAGGCTGAGTCAACCTTGTACCTGATAAGGTTTGAACTGCCGAACTGCAGCTAGAAGTCAGCAGAAGTAGCCTGCAGTACTGCACTCTAACCACTGTGCCACCTCGGTTACCAGCTAGTAGAGATAAAACGGGGAAGTTAAGCATTAGTGAGAAGCCCCTTGGAAGGTTGTGCATGCAGATTTCTTTCAGCTATTTTATGACATGATATTTCCCTCAACCTTCTGCTATTTTGTCCGTGGATTGCCCTCTACGCATGATTTTTAGATACTGCCCTTAGGCAGACCTCTCGGGAAAAATGTAGTCCTTGTTGTCTTTGGCTTTCTTATTATAAATAATATATATGAAGGAAATGAGCAAGTACATGAAGTTTTGATCTCATCAGCCATGGTTTGAACTTTGGGTCAGGACCCAATTTGCGATCTCTGACCAAATTTGGAAAGAGCGTATTCTTGATCTCTCATAAGGATTTTATATCAGAGCTTTTGGGCTACAGT